GTTCTCACCACGTGTCTGCCCTAGGGATCTATTGCCCGCCTTAATACACACACAGCAGAGCAGGGTCAGAGGGGCTGATAAAACGGCAGATCAGGCCTAAGCCTACCAACTGTACTTACTATTTCACTTTAACTTTGGTAGAAATGTAAGCTCCCCAAGCCATTGGGTACCTTCAAACAGCACAGATATTGAAGAAATGCCATGCAAATATACACAAACAATACTTATTTCTGTCATTATGGGGGCTGGGCTATGTGACCTTCTGTACGCTCTAGTGGTGCCTTATTGACCACCTAAATACATACAGCTATAGGGCACACTGCAATTTGTCCCGGAGTGAACCCTTAACCGATCTGTTTCCTCCACAACAGTGTTCACTAATAATTTTTTCTCATCTTTAGGAAATCATAGGCTGGTAATCTCAACTGCAGTCAAGGCAGGGGAACTTTTCCATTAACTTTTACAGACGAAGATCTGAGCCGCATACTTTGTGAGGAAAATGCAATACTCAGCTCAGTGACAGATAATATTATGCACATATATTTAAACAAGATGGTCTTTAATTTGACCAGGTCTAAAAATAAGCCTTTAATACCTGCTAATTTAAAATCACACTTGGGAGCAAGCATTTCCACCCTCTATGGGGCTACCAGGGTCAGGAAACAGAGCTTCCCTCCCCCTTTAGAACTTCCCACGCACCAGCTGACCCCTGCAACTCTCTCAGTGAGGAGAAAGTAATTCTGCAAATGACAGAATTCTCACTTTCGACACTATAAGCAGGTTTCATTGCATGGTCTGAGCTCTCACCACAGCAGGAGGAATTTCTGCCTTCCCAGATGTGCAGATGGGACAGTGGTCAGGGACAAACAGGACCAAGCCGCCGGGTCACTGGTAGCATGCACCCTCAGGCCATGGGCGCCTCCCACGCTGGTAGCATTGCTGGCTGGCAGGACACACCCGGGACACCCATTGACAGCAGGACAGGTAGAGAAAGAGCCTGACCAACTCATCTGGTCACTGCATCTGACTGACTTTGTGCTCTGCCCACCTGGCTACAAATCCAGATCAAGTCTCCAGCAAGATGCCTTGAGTTAAGGATGAAAATACCTCCCTTAAAAGAAAGAAGAGCTGGCCTGGAAATGCAGCTGACACCAAGCAGAGGCTCTGCTCCTGTGTGCTTATTTACGAGCTTTGGACTGATCTCTTCACACTTTGAGCTTCTTTTTGTAACAGGAACTGGAATACTGACTGGGACTGAACTTAAGGCACAGTTCTGCTGCTACCTCATCTTATCCAACTTTTCTCCACTGTAAGCTCTGGCAGTCACAGGAGAAATTTGTGCCTGTATGTGAAACTGTGCTTTCTTACATTTAGCCCTCTCTTCCATGGGAGACATCACCTATCCTGCTTCTCACAGTGATCAGACAGTTGTACTCCAAACTACTCAACCCATTTGGAGGAATAGGCTAGTACTAAATATGTGTGAAGGAGACCTATATATCTTTAATTTGTTAGCACCTCTTTCTCCTGTACATATTTTCTGGTACAGTATTTAGAGATACTAGTAAGCATGCAACGCAGGATAAGCTATATTTTGCTATTCTAATACTATGTGCTGAAACATTTGCTGTGTAAAAATTTTGAATTTCAAAACTGTTAAATTCAACAATTTCCATTTTCACTACAAAGTCTGCTGCAGATGAAGGTATGTTCAGGAAAAAGAGCACTTTCACATTCAAATTAAAGCATAGAACTGTTAAAGATCTTAGATTCCTTTTTGTTGGAATTAGAAAATCTACACGTGAGGAAAAGAATGTAAATGTTGTATAAATTATGTCACAGCGTATCTTAGAAAATATTATTTTTATAACTGAATCAAACTGTCAGGGAAATGAAGGCTTGTTATTTAGATTTTTTTTTAGAGAACCTCACTGTTGGATAGCAAGCAAAAAGTAAATACTAAAGTAATGTGTGCAATTGCAGCACGTTGTTTAGTCAGGTGCAGCAGGTGCCACTGTTAGAACTTGTTTTACAAGCATTTAACATTTTCATTAATAATCTGAAAGAGAGGGTTCACAGCGTGCTAATTAAATAAAGACATAATTCTACACTGAAAGAAGTCACAAAACATCAATGAGGACGTAACAGGATTGAAAAGGTTAGAAAAATATGAAAGAGAAAATATGATTCAAACTTGGAAATGTACAGTCAGAGGTATCTGGAAAACTGTGAGTGAGAAACAAGTATAGCAATAACACTAAAGGAGTAAGTGAACCAGATATTGGTTGGCACGTGATGCAGAAGCTGATTTGATTCTGGTCTGCCTGTGAAGAAGTCTGTCCCTTGGAGAGCTTACAGAAACTTTTAGGAGCTCAAGGATGGAAGGAGTCTCACACATTCATTTATGAGGAAAAAAATTAAGAGGGGGGCACTCAAGATCAGGCAAAAGGCAAAAGATTACACCTATTTGAAGAATATAAAGACCAGAAGAAAACTAAGACTGGAAATTTGAATCTAGTAGAAAGTCTTCAGTGAGGAAAAGAACGAACGTGATCTGCAATACTTAAAACAACAGTTCAATATATCACTAGACAAGGTAGTATAAAGAAATTTCTATCCGGCATGAAGATCAATGCAGTATAGCTTTTCCATCTCCTTTATATTCTCTATGATTTCATCTAACAGTTAAGGCAGTAACTTCTATTTATCATGGGTTGAGCTTATTCCTACATCTAACTGGAGTGAGCGAGATACAATGCTGTGGTGAAATTTAAACACACTGTGATATGAAATCAATGCACTGCAGTGCTTAGAGTTTTCCAGCTTCGACTGCATGACTGCAGCTGTACAGATTGTCCAACAATCCACTGCAGAATTAAGAGGCATTTTCTCATTGTTTTTAAACACTGAAAAAGTATCTTTCGCCTGTGCAGTAATCCCAATATTTCATGGTACATCTCTTCCATTTTTTCAGTTGTGTCAGCTGATCTGTTATACTACATTATCTCTCACTAACACCCTTAGCTCTCTGCTGTAGATGTCACAAATGACACACAGCAGTACCTGGGTAAAATCCTAGAAATTTAGGAGCCACTGTTCCAATTTCAAAAGGAAGAGAAGTAAATCCCAGCACCTGAATTTTGCTGTCAGCTCAGAGACAGGCCCTTTGCTCTGTCCTGCTCCCTGTGCTCTGGGGTTTTCCCCGCTTCATGTGCTCCAGAAGGGGAACACTGGCCAGATGACACAGAGGATGAAAGACTGGGAAATGTGGGGTGGGTTTAGGGCTAGGTGGTTGAGGGCTGGGAGACAAAAAAAAAAAAAGGTGAAAATTTAAGAATGATGCATTATTTCTAGGTAATTCTGCAAGAGATACAAGCTAAATGATTCTCTGCAGCGCCATGAATCAAAAGGTCCCATTGACTTCAGTGGTATCCTTTAGCCACTAAGGATATAACCCCATGGCCATACTCTTGCTTTGGGCTGAACACAAAGTGTAATGCATGGACTATGAGAATTGTCATATTTCTGGTACCTCCTTCGAGTCTCTCTGGGAATATTTTGCGTTGGTACAGGGTGCCACAGGGAAACAGCTCTTATGACCGTTTAAATTATCTCTCAGATGGTTTGGAGTACTGTGAACCACTGTTACAGGACTGAGGTTTGCGCAAGCCACATGTGAGTAATATTCATACAGCTGCAAGAGCTGAGAGGGAAGTTGAAACAGACGCTCCTCACTAATCCTCTGTGCTGTTATGCTCTGGGTGTAGGACTTCACTGGAGAGCAGCCTAGGCCAAATGTGACAACAAAACACATCCCACTAAACAGAACTGCAGAAAAGCAAAACTTTCTCCTGCACAATTTGCAACTAAAGCACACAATTTGTTACACAGTTTCCTGTATAGGAGCATCCATAGGTAAAAAACATGCTACAGATTCTGCCTGCACCTTCATTTTTTTATCAGACAGTAACTACTCCATACACCCTTTCTGCAGTATATATGGAGTGCGTGCCCCATCTCCAGGGCCCTTAGTAGGTCTGCGTACACACAAGGCCAGGCCAGAACTATAGAGTGTTTTATGATGTGACATTAATTAATTTGTTATGGGTGCTCTTTAATTCATTTTTTTTGTTCATTTCTTCTTTCTTTTCTTTTTAGTTAAATTCCATTGACAAAGTGTTACCCTTTGATATATTCTCAACCACAACTGACTCAGCATACTTTACTGGTTGAGGTGGGAAGTACCTCACTAGGATGTCAATCTTCTTTCCTGTTATTTCTTTATAAAAGAAGTAGTACTTCCAGTTGTGTTGGACAAGTACAACTAGGGACATTAGATGAACAGAAATCTTCCTTAGAGAAGAATCACCATTAGCTGTTGCCTTTCAAACCATCGCATCTCACAGAGAGGTCTCTTTGCTGCTTTTCAGAGGAGAAATCAAGGGACAGGTTCTCCAAGGCATTCAAGCAGAGGAGCAGGGGTATCCATGCAACTACATTGAGAGTTTGTGCACCTCATAAATTTGGTTAACTTGTTCTGCATGTACATCCATGCACCAGAAGTAGCAAGTTGGTGCTTTTTGACAATAAATAGCTGTCATGAGGGTTCTGGGTGTTGACAAGAATAGGGAAGGCTGGCTGAAGAGATCATTTAACCCTGCTAGTAACGAGCTCACTTGAAACAAGCTTCCCACTACTAATTATCACTTGGTTCTGATTGACTCATCACCTGCTCTGGTGCTCCTATTTCATAAACAGAACATGAACCGCTGAGTTTAAGAAACTGCATAATTTGCAGATTTTAGTAAAAAAAGAACTGTCTTGATGTTGTGTCAATTACTGCCAGACTGATTTTCTCTCCTTTACTCCCTGTATGTGCGTGCACATACACACATGTGTACCTGTGAGTGGAATGCTTCGATAATATTTTAATGAAGACAGTATTGCAGTCTAGCTTACATTTATACACATTACACTAAAGAAAGAAGAATTTTCCTTACCTATTTCGGTCATGGATATCCCCGGAGCTAATTGCCCATTGTTGAAAGAGCTATAGGTAAACAAGTTTGGTACAGAAGTGAGGTCATAGATAGGTTCCTGCTTTATCTGTTTGATTCCAGTCATGTCTAACCCAGACTGGTCTGGGGAAGGTTGGGCAGAATCCACGTTATAATAACCCTCAGACTTCGGCAGGTCGATGACATGCCCATTTGAGTAGGTGCTGCCAGTTTCGTTATTCAGGTTGCTCAAGCTGTTGCTGATGCTGTTGCTGTAAACCCTGGCGAGGGCTTCTGCCTCACCACTCTGCTGCTGCCGTTGTTCCTGCAGTCGCTGCTGGTGCTTCTGCACTTCAGCGTACAAGCTATCCCTCTGCTTTTTGGACATTCTTCCAAACTTCACAGCTGAAAAGCAAAGCACAATGCAAACCACTATTGTCTTTCATTTTTTCTTGATTATCCTCAACCCCACCATGCTTTTGATATTTAGTTTCAGCGTTACTTTTGCTGTGGAAACGATTGAGAGAGGATGCAAAACTTTACACTACATGGGTCTCACAAAGGAAAAAGTATTGTGTGCTTGGTTTTACAAGGTGATGGCAATGACTCCTATTTGACAGGAAGGCCTCAGTCAAGCAACTCACTTCCCACTGTGCATGTTAAAAAGACCACGCATCCTTTTATATCTCTGTTTTCACTGAACAACAACCCAGAGCTGTATGAAATGTACAGTCTGTAGATTCATATCCCATGTGATTTACCAACTTTCCACAAACCTTTAAACAGTGCCCTAACAGGATAAGTACTCTGGATGAAAACAAGCCCTAAAGCCTTATTATTGCATCCTTTCAATGAGGTGTTATCTTCACACTTTAAAAATAAAAAATCTTACAGGTTAGAGTTAAAACCTAGAGGAAAATAACAGATTTGAAGGTAAACAGCACAAATGTTCCCACAGAGGAAAGTCTCAGGGATTTACACAATCAATTTACATAATCTCCGTGCACAAATCCATGCATTCCTTCTGATGAGAAAAGGAGGAAAACATCAGAGTGCAAACCACTCTGCCCAGGAACAGGGTTTATTACACTGAGATTGAAATTTTCAAAAATGACAGGCTGATTGCTGTGGAACTAGGAGGAGTAAAACAACAGCCTGCTTCTACAGTGGGTCACAGCCGATTATCTTCCCCCACTGCCCTCACCCCATCTCTCTATAAATTCTGGCTTTCTACTGAGCTAGATCTTGGTATCTCAGAGCAGAGGTAGTTGTTAATTGTGCTCTAAAGCAAATGAGGGATACATTTAGCAGAACTTATCAAAGCACAGATAAGAGGATATTTCTCTGGAAGTACTGATTTCTATGCGTTATGAGATGTATTTTCCAAAGCTGAGTATTTCCAGTTCATCTGTAACTGTGATCAATTCAGAATCATCACATTTATTACCACAGGATGGGCTTGGCTCTCCTTTTTGCTACCCCACAGTTCAGCTATAGCCCTTCAGAAGAGTCTGAGCCTACAGATGTGGATGAATGTGAAAATCTTCATTCAGGAAAAAAGAACAGAAAAGGAGGAGTGTAACATGAAACAGCAGTGCCAGAACACCAAGGAGACAGCAGTGTCTTTTCAACATATTTTCACTTTTTTACACTGAGAGGTTTTTCTTGTTGCCAACCTCAGCTTACTTGCAGCCCTTCACACAGGCTGCAAACTACCTCACATGAACGCAGCCTGCCCCTGGAATCAGCCCACAGTGCACTGTACACCCTTACTGACAGTATACAATGACTGTACTTTGAAAAAGGCAACTGTGTATTTTCTTCAAATTTAGGGTCTCAGTAATAAAAACAAACACCCACTGTTTATTCTCATTACAGACTCATTAATTGGATTCTCCAGTTGCTGTCAATTAGCATCCTGCCTCTGCATGATAAAAATGAATCTGCTAGATGGCTGAGAGGTAAAAATCACATTCAATTTCTGTGGTAAAAAAATCCATACAGACTATTTTAAACTTGCAAGAGCTCTTAAAATCATTAAGTATAAACACCCTTACATAAACAATGAGAGAAGAAAGAGATGCTGTCAGAAGCATCACTCCCTTTGTCTGTATGCAGTGGTCCCTGAATTATAGGTTGGGAAGACAGTGCTGTCAGTCACATTAAAATGCCTCTGTGATACCTCAAATCATTGGAAGATATTACTTTTAGGAGGAAAGCATGTACTGTTAAATTACTGAAATGTTACTATTTTAATCTCCTCCAGGAAGAATTGGGAGCTAAGGCATCAAGTAAACTGCACGCCAGGACCAAAAAGAGTTCACGGACAAAGGTTAGACTGCAAGGCCCCTCCCAGACTGGTGAGGCTGATAAGCCAGTTGTTTCAGTGAGACATGAGACACCCTGAGGTAGGAAAAGACCTATTACAGTCCAAATTTAAAATAAGTTTGCAATCTGTAGACCATCTAAAGAAATAGCTCTTTAAGTAACTTCTCCATCAATTACAGTTAATTTCAAATGACACATTTTGTGTAAACTTTCTAAGATGGGAAACTGCTGCCAGGCAATTGAAATCAATACAACCTGCCTTCAAAAGTAGAACATTTTATTTTCCTGCTTCCTGACCATTTAAAATGTGTCTGTGAGCTGGAAACCCCCCGCACGAGCAGCGGTGGCTGAGGTGGGTCAGGCGTGGGCAGCCGTGCCCAAGCCTCCCATTTCCTGCAGCTCTGGTGCAGTGCATGCGTGTTGTCAGCCTGCCCATCAGGGCTCCTCACACCACAGCTTGGAAGGCAGGACAGACCTCTGCAAGGACCTGCCATCGGATACACTGTGAAGCTTTCCCTTGGCATAGTGTCCATTTTCAGTGCTTAACTATGAAATGAAATGTTTCTTCTATAGACCCAGACAGGGACAGGAGGCAATGTACAGGTTAAAGAAATGCTTTTTTAGCAATGCAAAGTATTTGGTCAAGTGCTCTGAATAAAACAAACACAAACCCCTAACGTTATCAAGCTGTAGATTTCTGCTTAACTGCCTATTTACTGTCACAGACCTGTAGAGATGCCAAGGAAAGGGATGCTTTCACACATCAATATTTAATGTTAAGGTAAATGTTAATGTTTAATATAAGAGGTTACCTAAACTGGAATATAAATCTACCTCTACAGAGGTGACCTTCTTGTGCTTTTGAGCAGAACACCACATTTCACTTCTGACTCTTTCTGTTCCAAACTAACACTGCTCCTCATTTTGTCATTTCCCCACCCTCCCCATGAAAATAGCCTCCTTTGTTAACTGAATGGCAAAGATCTGTGTCTCACAGTGCGTGCATTAAAAAGCAGGTAGCTTGTCCTCTCTCTTTTTCCAGAAATCTACAGGGAGTTTAAGTAAGTCAGCAGTGAAGAAGAGTTTCAAAGGGTTTAGGTGTGAAGCAGGAATCTGACTCCTTACCATCTCGAGACATTCCCAGGGCAAGACATTTCTGCAGTCGGCAGTGTTGGCAACGATTTCTGTTGGTTCTGTCAATTAAACAGTTTCTCTGCCTTGGGCAGGAGTAGGAGGCATTGTTCTGCTGACTCCTCCGAAAGAATCCCTAGGGGCAAGAGAGCAAGAGAGACAGAGTATTAACATGTGCATATATGTGCATTCAGACATACACAGAGAACCACCTAAATGCATAATATAAACTCTTATTTAGTGCAATGCTACTTATGCTATGGCTTTGCAGATGTGTTGGCCTTGTGTAATGAAATTAAAGAACATTTACTTATAATAAGGAGACTTGTGCTTTCTTTTGTAAAGAATGTAATTTTACTTTGTTAAAATGCAAACAATAATGTTGCAGAATGCATTCTTATCATGCAGTAACAACCATGTATCATCTAACGCTTGCTCTTAATAGAGGAAAAACTTGTCAGCATTTGTAAACAGATGACTTAAAAGTATTTGTTCTGACTATTTTCTTCCTTTAATGAAAGAGACTAGTAATAACTGGAACAGGCTATGCACACCATTAGAAGCTGAAGTCTGCTGTTCAATTTAACCTGGCAAATGTTGATCTGATCTGGAGGGACCATGCACTTCAGGAGTGAAAAGTAATTATTCAAATTCAAGCATCACAAAAGCACTAGGATTTAATGACTGTATCAAGTAAAGCCAACACACAAAGGAGAAAGCAACACCTTAGACACCACCATGAGAAAGTGACGACATTTTCCATTTCAGTGGAATATAACATTATCCATTTTATCTATGTAAAAATTTGTAGTGATTCTAGAAGGTTTTTCTGGCCAGTTGTGGGCTATTTAGCTAAAGATCAGAGGGTTAGAAGGAGAGCATTAACCCATACCTAAGGCCTTACGAACTCCAAGCTGCTACGAATGCCACTGAGAAGTACCGTTATCGTAGAAGTGCCATGAAATGGCAGGGGTGACAAGAGGCGTGAAACCAGGGGGTGAGGATTAGAGAGAGAAAGAGAAATGGAGAAGGCATTTTATTATATTCTTTTATTTCTTGTAAAATATAGTACAGAAGGAACAGCAAGTCCAGAGAGAGAGAAACAAAGAAAAATTTCTTGGTCATTTTGTCATCTTTAGATGCAGGCAGCTGCAGGGCTGTGTGGTGGGAGAGCTGAAGGACATCCTAGCCACTGCAGGAAGCCATGAGCGAAAAAAAAAGGACAAAAACCACCATTACTGCAGTCACACTAGTCACCAGAAGTGATGCCAAAGTGGTTGTGCCTTTCTGGGCTGGTTTGCAAAACAGCTCTGAATGGAGCCAGAAAGCAAGAGCTGACTTAATTTATCAGGCAACACTAGTGCTATCTCGGCACAGGCTGACAGATGGTAATACTGAACAATGGAAATTGTGGCAGACATGCATTTTGGGGGAATGAGAGTGGTGAAGCAACAAGGCAACAGTGTCACAGTGCTCGATTTGCTTGCTACAGGTAATGCCTGAATTCTTACTCAAGTCCTGTTGAACCAAATGGGGATGGTGTGGGGTGTCAGAAAGAACGGGTGACATGCATGGTGTCCCATCAAGGACACCGGCAGTGCTGGTTCCTGAGGTCGAGCATAAAGACGCTCACAAAACCAGCTGACCTGTGCTGGCTTTATCAGTGATTATATTATAGTATATCTAAATTAAATTAAGTTTTATGATTTGCATTTTTGAGAACATGGATGTCCTTTAGGGAAGCTCTCTGAAAAAACTTAGTGGAGACTTATCTGATCCTGGCTGACCAAAACTTTCCTGAAACTGTGGAAGTGAGTTTAAGGCTAAATGGATGCTAATTACAGATGTTGTTACTCTATTTGCTGAACTTTACAGCCATTTTTTTTAATATGGTTTAAGGGTTTAGCTTTTAGCACTCCTATATGTATATGGATTTGAGAGAACAAATGAATCAACCAATGTTAAACACTCCACACAACCATTTAGCATTGACTGTGCCGTATCCTGTAGTGTTGTTTTTTCCTATTAAGTTTGATCTCATCTCAGAAGAATTTGTTTGTTCCTTCTTCACCCCTCTTGGGAAAAAAATCAAGGGTTCAATAAAAAAATTAATCTACAGCAGGTAACTTATTTTTCCAAGGAGACTTTTGTCTTCTGCATAGGATCTAAATATTGTCTTACAGACAATCCTTTCATCTAATTTTTCGTGAATCTTTTTATAATACTGGCTATATCTACTGAAAATAATTCAATTCGGGGGAAGGAGGATGAAGTTCATTACTGAGGAGCTATGGACTTAAAGACAGGTTTCCCAATATTCCCAACACTGACAACAAGTCTTTCTGCATCTTGAAGAAGTCACTTTATCCATCACCGACAGTTGGCCTGAGAAGGGAGATGGTCATGTGAACTATTGTCTAAATTATGCCAAAAGAGTTGTAGCAAATACTCTGCTCTGGGGGAAGGCACGAGAGATGATAAAAGGCTTCTCAGGAAAAGAAAGAGCCACAGAGACAGATGGGATGGAAACCTGTCTTCAGTTTTCATCCTTTCAGTGACAATAATGGCAGAGCCACCATTTTCTTCAATGGGTCCAACAAGTGTACGCAGGCATGCACACAAAACAGCAGTAATATTTACGATGGCCCTTAAGCACTTATAATATGCGTTTGCAGTGGCATAGCTAATGTAGGGATACAGAGTTAAAGGATTTCCTGTCCCTTGAAGTTTGTATCACTGCCACTGGCAGTACAATCTTTGGATGCTATGTCCTGAAACACCGCAGCTGTCTGGCACCTGGCTCAATGTGTGTGCATGCTTCTGGAGCAGTTCTTGACTCTTCCACACATTATCTCCTTCTTAATTAATTCAGATTTGTAACACATTCAGAAAAAAGGAGCCAGAAATGATCAGTTATTAGTATGCAGGCTCAGAAAATAGTTATTAATTACACAAGGAAGCAACGGGCAAGGAAGAGCAGAGTTGCAACTGCCTGAGACAGTGCTTACCTTAAAAGAGACCTCTGACAGAGTGATATACCTCCCATTGGACCCAGTGTGAAAACTGACATCTTTTTTCACAACGGGCTCACAAAACAAGATTAGACTAATTGATCTGATACCGCAAAACTGGCAGAAAAACAATAGGGTTAAAACTGTCGTAAGTGGAAGAGAAGCTCTTTATCTCAATAAGCCGTCTACACACAGAGCTGAGGGGTATCATCTCCTCTTGAAGCACACACAAGGGCCAGCATTAACCCTAATCACATCTACAGGAGACTCTACCCCTAACTGCTCTGTGGGCGCTGAGTACCAAGACAAAATGCTGTTTTTCAGCTTAATTTTTTTTTCTCCCATAGCTTTTGGGCCAATTTTGAAGTAACAGATCAATTAGTCTAATCCTGTTTCATGTGATAGTCATAAGAAGACGCTTATTTCTCGTCCAGCGTCACAATAAGACAGTGACACACTGTGGGTTGTTCCGTTTACAATTGTTAACATTTCTGAAAGAAATATGATCTTTGACAATATATTGCTTCTTAATGTGTTGGCATTAAAAGCTTTCTTTTGGGAATGGGTGCACACAAATTTTCAGATTTTTCAGATATTCTAAAATTTTGTAAAGCAGTAATTAAATACAGACTTGCATTTTCACTCTAAAAATATGCGCTCACTTTCAAATGTAGCAGTTTGTGTTTCCACATAAAAGAAGTCAGAGATGCTGCCTCTCCATCTCTGCAATTTCACATGTAGTACGAAATTCTGTTTTTCCATGAGTAATGATGTAATTCCTTAAATAATGAAATCACAGAGTATATTTGAAGCTGAAAACCAAAGTCTTTCTTCTCTTGCCTTGGGACCTGATTTGTGTTATTTGAACTAACGCCTGGCATAATATGTTAATATGAGTAAGCAGCATGGAAGGGGTTTTATCCTTTTTTCGTCCTTTTTTTTTTCTTTTTTTTCCTTTTTTTTTTTTTTAAACTTTCAATTCCCAGCAATTGCCTTGTGCTGGAGCCTTTAGGAAGAAGACAAAGGATCCTTTTACACAAATGTAGGGCATTTTTTCTTTTGGAGATTACAATTTGGCATGCAGAGAATACAAAAGGGATAAAATAGGACCAAACTGAAACCCGCAAGATGTTGAATTGAGATACTGCACCAACTTCTAATGCTACGTGGATCATATAGGAAACAAGATAAGAAATCCATCTCTCAAGCTGATTTAAGGTAGGACAGGTGTGACTTACAGTCGCCAGCCTCTGTATCAGCACTTTTACTGCATCAGATGTATTAATTTGTGTTTCAAACAAGGAGGTAACACTAAAGACTATTTGATGAAAAGGAAAGCAAGCAGTAAAATTAGGCATTAAAGGCATCTGTATCAGCAGCAGGCTTTACAGCCTTTGGCACTGCTTGCTTGAAAGCATGTAAGACTGTATTATTGTACACAGACGCCTGGGGCTAATGCAGATGCTGATGACTATGCTGTATTAAAATCTCATACCTTGCAGCCTTCACATGTGATGACTCCATAGTGTATTCCAGAGGACTTATCACCACAAATTTTGCATGGTATCACTTCAATTTGCGCTGAAAAAAAATACAAGAGAAATACTTTGAGTACACAATTCTATTTAATTTCTTTCTTTCTCAAATAAAAAACTTTAAAACTAGAGCTAGTCAGCAGATAACCTGTTCACGCTCCTGACAACAGAAAACTGCTTTGCATTGTACTGTGTGTTTCAGAATATTTTGATTTGGCCAATTTTAACTGCTCCACATCATGTAGTTTCTACCATACCCCACAAAACTCTTCAACAATTTAAGATATCATGATTAGCAAGCTTTTGCTCATATTCTCCTTTTTGTTTTTACTTGCTAATTTCATCATCACTATTGCTAACAATGGTCATTAGGGGTCCTAAATAATTATCTAAATTGTTCTTGCTTACACATTTCAAATATTCATGACTTCTCATTTTGCTGAGGTAGAAGTACGCAGAAGATTTTGATGCATTTTTCAAGCAGTAGAGGTGATGAAGTTTCCAAATCCTTCAGATGTTGGCTTCAAGACACACAAACACAACAATTCCACTGTCAGAGATGGGCTTGCAAATGATTGCTTAACCTCTGTTTCTCTTCAAGCTACTAGTTTCAGCATCAGGTCATGAGCAGGCAAGGCCCACAGACTGAGTTTAAGTAGCCAGTGTCTGTGTGCTGGGAGAGGCAGGTACTATCTGAAAATGTTTGAATATGGATATGCTTCAAAAACTTTTACAAACATAATGGTCATTTAATTCAGAGAAGTAAAACATTTTTCACTATCTTCCCTATATTTCTTTTGCTAACAAAGCTCTTTGCTTCCCTCAACTACTTTGAATCCTGTGTGTGTTTCCTTCGACACTACTGTAAGAGCATATAATCTGAAATGTAGGGAAGGAGGTGCCTTTACTCTAGTCAGATGTGTTGAGAAGAAATAGAAAATCCATTTTTGCTCCCTTTCATTTGTTTTCCTATGTGGGATACATGCCTCCCTGCAATTCTCCTGCCACTATGAAGTAGCATAATACTTGGTATAGATCAATACTCCTGTTAGTTGTCTTTCCTCCATGCTTAGGGCAGCAATAGCAGCAGGTCTCTGTGACAGAAGTCACTCATCAAATCCTTGGGTAGCAAGTGGAGAGCTTGTGTAGTAGGGCTAACTGTTAATTCTTTAACTGGACACATTCATTTCCAAAATGGAATGGGAGATGGGGAAACAAGATTATTTTCCAGATGCTCATCCTAAGAAGACCATCCCCTTTCAAACGTGTGGGCAGCAAGAAGGTCATAAATGCTGGAAAAAACATGCTTAAAAATGACTGCACATTGTAAGCTGAGCACTAAGCACACTTTTACAACGGATGCTGTGACAATATAATAATGTAGTCTGGATTTTTCCCCATTTCTACCTATTGTTATCATCTACCGCTCTTAGCAGAAGTCAAGAATTTTGTAAGAGTTACCAGCATGTGGTTAAACAATCAAAACACAGAACTCTGTCCTGCAGAGCCACCACACTTCCCATGGAAAGGTGCATTGCATCCCCTACTCCCTGAGACCCCTACTGAGGGTAAAGGCTTACCAAGGTAAACTCCAAAAGGTGAAAGCTAGCAGGCCCTCTTCTCTGAAAAGTCGAGTAACTATTCCTTTGGGACCATATCTCAAAGGTATCAGTGAAGAGACGTGTTCATGGCTGGCTAAAGAGACTTTAATTCTCCATTGTGAGCTTGGTTTCCTGAGATGCTGTCTCTGATCAAGCACATTTTTAGGCAAAGCTTAGGCAAGCAAACCAGTTTTTAAACCACTCATAAACCAGGATGGATAGAATTAATTTTGTTGTAGGAAATAACAATTTGTTGTTAATATATTCTCCATGGAGAAAACCCAGAACTAAAATCTTGTCTGTCTTTGTACTTAAGAAAGTTCACATCTAGAAATAAGACTTCTTATGTCATCCGCAATTTTGGGGTTAGCTTCTGTATCCAATTTTGCTTACATGGTGGTAGTTTTTTTCCCTTCTTAAGAAACTAATACTCATGAGCCATCGTGGTATGATAGATGCATAAAAAGGAAGGCAGTTCCTTACAGAAAAGCATCTGCAGTTCCTTGGCAATTTTGCCAGGCTGATCCTGCTCAAAAATTCCTATGCCTTATCCCCATTGAGATAATTAAAACATTTAAGCATGCACCTCCAGGTACTGCTGTTTGAGAGGCCAGCTTGAGTAATTACTCACAGGTCTCTGCTTGAGAGTCATGTGGAGGGAGCAAGGCTCAGCTCTGGGACCACACACTGTTTTATGTTGACAAGCATCAAAGACATATGTCAGTGTCAGAGGCAGAAACTACAGTGGGAATGTGAGATCTTCAGAAAAAGACAAAACAAAGGGAGGAAAAAAAAACGCCAAACCACTGTGCAGGTACTTGTAATGTGACTTGCATATACAGATTGTAACTGCGAAAGGAACAGAGACAGAAGAATTGATCCTGTGACACTCATTGCATTTAGCACAGTACTCGTTACGTGAGCAATCAATAATTCCATGCATGACTTGCAGTTATAAGCACTACGTTCATGGTAAATATTTGTGGACCGTGTCACCAAATGCTAAGGCTCTAGGTTTCAATTAATATGAAATAAATACTTTAGACTTGCAACTCATCAGTTGATTCAAACCCTTACTCAAAACTAACCATTCTGTGTTAGTAAATACAGGATGTCTAGGAAATTGCTACCATGGCTGCTTAGGGAGCTCACAGAAAACACAGCATCTTTAGGACACAGAGGACATTCGATGAAGTTTGGAAAAGTGGACTCTGCCACTGTCTCTTAGGCAATTCTTTTTGTTCATAAGACAGCAGAACAATTTAAGGATTTGTAACAGAAAACTTGAGTCATTAATTGTACAGCCCAGATAAAAAAGAAGCCACTGTATTCCCAGAAACTTCTTGAATTACTGTAATTAACACCCAGTGTACCAAGTTTCTTTTGCAGATTTAATGATTATCAGAGGCTACTACACCTTTTCCACATTGTATCCTTGTTCAGCCGCCTATAGTTTTATGTTGCTTTTCTTCTTGCCTTCTCCTCTTAGACAGTTTAAGGACCTTTTATATCCTACCTCTCTTTATCGCTATTATAAAATAAACAGCTCGCTTCTGAATTCCTTACAAGTATAAAATGCACTGATTCAGTACCACTTCCTGAATATTGAGGCAAAAATGAAATGAGCTAATAATGATGGAGTTGCCACAAAGATAACATTCAGCAGCACAGGAATAGAACTTATTTTATCCCAATGTAGTAAAGAAGAGGAAGGAATAAGAGAAAAACTACTTATCTCTACTTCTAAAGTTGTTCCACTTGACTTTTTACACATCAACTTTAATAATGCAAATAAGAATAATGGCTCCTGTCTCTTTTCAAGCAACAACACAGGTCTCAATTGTCCATTTGCCCAATTTTTCAACAAGCGCATTCAGTTTTCATCCTGTCCTGAGACGTATCTCTTGATAAAAGCTTGCAAAACCTCCATCACCCTGATATCTAATGAAACATTCACAATGTTTGGATACATGCTGCATTGCGATTGCTCCCTATCACCAACTGTAGCTTCTTTCATCAAGAAAGAAGGGTCATCCACAGGGTCATCCTGTCTCCCTGAAGTATTCATCTCTTATTTTATACTTAAGTTTAAAGTTCTTTGGGGCTTGGAACTGCCTCTAGTTCTGTATGGCACCCTATAAACTAGAATTCTGCAATGGAAATTAATTAATTCTACACGAGTAGTAATAATAATCCACAGATGCTGGGTTTACCACCTGGGACCTAATTCATTCTCCCGGGACAACAGGAAGAAGGGTGGAATTCTATCAAGGAAGCAAATACAAAATCATCTCATGCATTTGAAATGAACACTTGGATAAAAACAAATATGTACTTAAAACCATCTTCAAAACAAGCATTAGTTATTTCCTCAAATGCTGCCCCAAGAGAAATAAAAAAAGTACATTGAGCTGCTTTTTTTCTACCAGCAAAAAATTTACTCATGGGCACAAAATTCATTATCCTAAAAGTAGGGCAATAATCAGGTTGCAAGAATTGTTGTATTGGTGAAATTAGGCATAAATCTGGAAGGAGATAAACAGATAATTTGCTGAATTCCTCTTGAAACAAAGTTGAGAGTCAATGAGGCAGCTAATGTGTCTGTTGTGTATTTGTGAGGACTGCCACTCACGTGCATATGTTCTCTAACAAGAAAAAAGCAAAGCTTGCGTTTTCTACAATCTCAGTTTAACATCTGAGGAACTTCATTCAGGACAGACAGGACTATAATATCCCAGACCTGTAACTTTGGCTTCAAGGGGAAAAAAGACTTGAGCTTTCAATATTTAGTTCTTGATCAAAAGCGGATACTAAAAGCATGCTGGGCATGAACTTTGAAGAGGAAGTCCTCTCTCTAATTTGTTGATCCAGGAGGGATTGCACTTGGAAACATCAAGGCTAATCAGAGAACCGATAGCAAAAAAAAAGCAGCTTCTTCACCTTCCAAGAATTCCCATCATCCTTAAGCTTGAGTTCTTTGAAAAGTGCTAGCAGATCGGCCCAGTTCACTTTCATGTTTGTATCCCTAAGTGATTTCAAACTAAGTATACTCAGCATTTTTATCTATCTGCCAGTGCTTTTTTTTATCCTGACCTCTGTGAGTAAGACAGGCTTTTTTCCTTCCGCGTTACCATCAACAGAAGTTTCCACTATAAGTTAGGCTGCCAACTAGACCTTGGTATACTCTTTGCCACTATATAAGATATTCTGTGACTTCACAGTAAGACTTCCCACGCTTTGCATTTGTATGTAATAATCTGAAAATACACAGCTGAGGACACTAGTTATGTTTTCAGCCTCTGTCGTACCTCATGCAGTGAGACCTACATAGTTAGCAATATCTCAGCAAGCTAACTAATGCCAGCTAATCTTAATGTTTCTGTAGATACACTTGCTGTCAGCCACACCCCAAATGAGCCATTAGAGTAAGCAGATAGGATGGAATTCACCCAGGAAAATAACATTTTCATAAAATCTTAGGATTTTTGCACAGTGATACACACAACTCTGACTGTGAGTCTGGATCCTGGACTTTGTTAGAGCTATGAAGACTATCAGATCCACTCTGCCCAGGGCCCTCTCTGCATGTGCAGCAAGGCTGATGATTCCCAAATATACCAGCCCTAGAGCTCATTTGCAGAAATGTACAAATTCCTCAGAAGTTTTTGTGTATCTATATGTCTCATTGGGCACATACAGTAGATTTGATCAGTATATGATTTGTAAAAACTTGTCATGAACTTCAAGGTAAGTAGTAGTCCTGGAAGTTGGATATTAAGAAAACTGATAGATCATTGCTTGAAATAGAAGAGTGGTAAATTATTGTTAAAAAGATTGTTTTTCCCATAAATCCACACAGTTGTCAGGTCTAATTTATTTCATGGTCTTGCAGTCTTAGCTGGCATTTTCTTAGCTTATAATCAATGTCACTTGGAAGGTTTCTTGGTGCCACATCCTCTTTTATGATTTTCCAGTGGGGAAAAAGAAAAAAGAAAAAGCATGGAACTCTACATCAACTCTTCATACAACTCTGCCCTTTACTGCATGGCTATTTGAAAGACTATTGGAAAAGAACCTTTGAAAACCTCAAGTATTTTCGATGTAGGTTCCCTGTGTGTCCTTACTGTGTGCATTTAAAATTTATTTTTTTAAAGAAGAGGTAAGATCAAACCCTAGAAATGTGCATGACAATTTCTGTAGACTGATGAAAATTTAAAAATTACATGCTATATACTAGCTTTTTTGCAGGTTTTGCGTATGAAGGCAATACGTTTATATCTGCACTGTAAACAGATACTTTGAAAGACTTTTTTTGTCTGTTTCATGGCCATAATACTGTTTACAGAACATTGTCAAATGCTTTGAAATAGACAGATGAAGTAACATGAGTTCAAATGATTATGGCTGCTCCAGAGCTAAAGGTAATCTCCAAACTGCAGATATTATCTGATCTTTTTTGTATCTTATTGTTACATACTAATTTTGAAACAAGTCTGGAAAGAATGATCTGCACAGATTACTTGCCTTTACATTCAGCAGAGAAAGAGAAATTATAGGAAAAAAATGAGCACAGTAAAACAACCTTCTCCCATCACAAAAAGAACAGAAATAAGAAAAAATGTTTTTTGTTCAAATGCCTTTTCTTTCCTTTCCTGAGTCTACCTACAATGGATCTAGCAGTGTTATTTAACAATTTATGAATAGTAAAATGTTGCTATGCTTGTGATGGTCCAAAGATATAGATGAGATTTTCAGTTAGATGTAATATCTCTTATTAGACCAAGGGAAAAGAAATGCTTTTGGACCCCTAGCTTTTTATCACACCCTAGACAGGAGCAAAGGACTTCAAGCTTAAAACATGTTAAGGATAATTGCTCAGAGCTGAATTTCATTATGCTAATCAATTAGAAAAGATGCAAGATTTGCAAGGTTGCATGATTCTCTATGGAGCAAAGGTAGCTGTGTGCAAGAGAACCACGAGAGTCTTACGAGCAGTGACATGATGTTGTGAGATAATTGATACATACTTATTTTGGATTGCCAGTCTTTTTTTCTGCAGAAGTGATAATTTTAATGAGTTTAAAACATTTGTAAATTAACAGAAAATCTGTAATTCCATGGGGTATTACAAGCCAGTGGTGGTGATGCTGCTTCCTGGATTCCATGTACAAGCTGTGCAGCTTTTTGTCAAGGATGGCAGCTCAACACCCAGTGAAACAGCAAAAGGTTAGGAAGATGCCAAAGGCAGAGAAATTGCTGCCTAGTAGCTTGTTTGTTTCTTTATTTTGGACAATTTGGTTGAAGTGCATAAGAAGCATGAGCGTTTAAGGCTGTCCCAGACTTTTATGGAATGGTTCACAGGCAGGGAAAGCGGCAGAAGAGAAGCAGACCTGCCTGTATCCTCTGCAGGGCAGTGATGGCTAACACAAAGTACAGTCCAGTGTCCAGATCCAAAAGATGAAAATCAGCTCCCTTGTCAGAAGCTCTGGCTCAAAGGTTGAGCCCTGAAAGGCTGTGCTCAAAGAGGTCAGAAAGGGTCAAAGGATCAGCAAACTTTGACAACTTGTCTAGCACTCCATATCTGTACAGAAGCATTTTCATTGCCTCTCAACATGGACTTTTCCATATTAATCTATGAACTCTTTTGTCTAGTAACTCATATGCATGAAAATTATGTGTATAACTTCAAAGGATGATGCTACAGTAAAACAAGTTACCACACAACAAAAACATGTTGCCATACTGATGATTTGGGCTCCATAGGTGAGTTCAAATCAGAGATATTTAACTAAATTCTCAAAGCCTTACCCTGGGCCCCATAAAGAGCTCAGAATCCTGTCTTATTCACAGCGAAAGATTTAAGTGTATAATAAATGCAGAATTATTACTCTACAGTTTCTATTTCCCTTAAAGACTCAAGCAATGGTTCTGCTGATACTGCACACTTTCCTTAAAGAGATTATTATGGTAATCCCAAATATTATACTACCCAAGCTATCTTATATTTGAGCTCATCAGATCCAATGTTCTGTGAATAATCTCTAGCAGCTTTAGCTAGCGTTTATATAAGCTGGTCAGGATGGCTGTCTGCGCAGCGATGACTATGTTTTCTATGCAATTCTCTACAGAGTAAATGTGCACTTCCACAAAAATAGCACCCTATACAGAAAACACATTGCACAGGCAAAGTTCTTTCCTATGAGAAGTACACTTAGTATTTGCTCTGCCCATCTATTTGTCATAATTTGTTTCACTTAAGTGGTTTACAATACAGGAGGCATTTAGCAGGACAAATTAGTTTCCCTCCTTTCTTGTCTTTAGTCAGAAAGCTACTCAGTGTGCCCAATGTTTCTGAATTACTGTTTCCTGATAAGACAACAGTCCATGGCTATTTTTTTTTTCTCTTCTGGATAAACGGACTAATGAACTTTTCAAGTGAAGAGCCCAGATAGCATGATAAATATCTATAGTCCATTTTGCCTCTTGAGAGATGGCTGAAATTGTCATACAGCACTGAGTATATTAGTGAGAATTCTTTGTTACATACACGTAGATCACTGC